GAAAGAGCTGAGAGGGAATATCAATACAAATCATTGCACAGAGAATGCAGGTTGACAGAGGCAACTAAAGGCCTTCGATAATCTTTACCCACATGTTCAATTACATGGACGTGCACCATTTTTCCACGAATACTCCTAACTGTTATTGTACACAGAAAAACTTTTCACTAAATGTTATTCAACACCTTTAAATGCTATGTTTCCACGAAAGCTGAATAGGGAGATGCAGGCATTTAAAACCGGAATAAACAGCAGCCAGGACACCAAGCAGGAGGATACCCAAGAGCCCATAGAGAAGGTGAACAGCAGAACGTCTTTACTATCCTGCTCCGCAGGTTGAGAACCACTGAACCACTGTGTTAGTGTGATTTTACTCTTCCCTGAACTAAAGCACCAAACCCAAAGATCACAATAACTGAATCCCTCTGTATACTGACTTAGTAATAAAACGACAGCAGCTTGTACTGCTGAGCTATGAGACTATATAGCAAGACTAGAAAGGGACTACATTTGTCCCTCCTATGAACCTAGACTGCCAAGAGAGCAACAAATAAGATCTGTAGAGCTACACAAGAACTAGAAATCTCCATTCTGCTATTAGGCACTGTCAGGAAAAGCACTTATGTTCTGGCCTCATTTCCCAATGCACTGAAGTCTTCTTACTTGCTTTAATGCTTTGCAAGCTAGAGGGACTTTAAAAGATTTTATAGAATGAGTTCATTCAAATACATACAGGTGCTCATGCAGGAGGCAGAAGGAAAACCCACTGCAGGAGCTGCTCTACAGGGAAATGCCCACCCTAACACACAGGCAATATTTTACTTACCCTTCAAAGTGGCACGGAAGTAAGGATTGCCTCTTACTCCACTTTTTTTTTTAACCTATTTAAGGTAGTGAATTATTATATTAATATCACCTCTGTGTAGAAGTGGAAAAACACATCCATAATCAGTGTTATGCTGAAGAACCTTGGGCTACAGAGCATAACCATATTTCAAAGTAGACCATCATTAAACAGCTAAATTGGGGTTTTTTTCTGCCTTTGTG